CATTGACATGCAAATGTATTCACTAGCCCCGCCCACTTCGCTTATGACCCTTGGGCTACACCCATCTCAAACCTTGATAACATCCTGCCTCAGCAGTTTTTTCGCTATTTTTTTCACCTGATGACGATTGCTTGCGTTGCGATGGAAACGTCGTGATATTTGTAATGATTTTTTGTTTCTATCTATGTGGCTTTACCGAAAGACCCAAGGAATATAAAAACAATGTTTACGTAGGCGAATTACTCAATGAGGCAGAAATCCTATGCCGGCCGCTCACTGATGCCAACACTTTGACAGGAACACTCCTGCAAAACGAGCCTCGGGCCTCCGCGAGGCTTCCCTGCAACGGGTTAAGCAAGGGTGTCTTCCTCTGAACCGTCCGATGGGGGTGTTTGGCCATGAATTCAAACCATCACGCGAGCTCCCGTCGTCGTCATCGCAGCGGCGGCGTTTGGCTGACCAACGGACGAAGGCGGTCACCGCTTCGCGCGGCGCTTTCAGGCGCGCTTCTGCGGGCCGTCTGGAACGCTCCTCATTCCGTTATTAGGAAGCCACTGGCGCTATGCACTTGGAAATGATCGTCTAGATTGAAAAACACATTTCTGTAGAGCTGCCTTTTGTGTTTAGTTTGTTATCCTCCCCCCGCCCCCCACACGTCGCACCTCCGATTAGCGCGGTTGGTAACGTACGGCGCGAAAGAAGTTCAACATCCATACATACACATACAGACGTGATGAGAGTTTGGAGACCCGGGAGAAAACCCAGGCCCTGAGTGAGGAGGAGACACTCAGCACTGTCACCTCCTGGCTGCGTCCCGCGGCCTCAAGACTACAAAACATGGCAAGCCCTGCTGCTAGTCGTCCGCCCACAATACAGAAGGGCCCTTGCCCGAAACGTCGCCTATTATATAATCGTTTCCTTTAAGGCCACGGTGTTGTTGACGAATGTTTGGGGATTTTGTGTTGCTCATGGCAAATGTATTTTTAGCATTATCCTGATGCCATTCTTCAAAAAATCCCGTTGCTTTGTTTCTGCCACGTCCCGTTTCGACTCTCTCACCGTTAGCCACGACCTGTCCACTGCTGGACGAAAGCCTCCACATTCCGCCGCTAACGCTTGTCGCGATCCTACGCCTTCCGTTTTAACCGGCGACTCGCAGCCTCGTGTGTATATTAAACACACGCTAAACCAACAAATACATCTTAAATAAAGCATCTGCTTCATTGCATCAGCCTATCGGCTTTGCCAGATAAACACTTTCCGGCAACAGCTGTTTAAGCAAACCGCTGGACCGGTTTTGGCCCTTCTGGGTCTCATCAGCAGCAGAGTCGGGCTTGTCAAACCGATTAACGGCTGGTGGATTTACCAGATGCGTTATTGGCAAGAGGGCACCACCTAAACTATGGATGAATAAGAGCGGGGGGGGGGGGGGGCTGTTCAAGGCAATCCGCGAAGTGTGTGAGTTTGTGTCGTAAAAATATACCGTACACTTGCCCAGAGACTTCACGGCTGAGTTGTCCTCAACTGCGTCTGGCCGCGGGCAATGACCTCTTCCCCCTCCCCCCCTCCCCCCGCAAGAGAGAGCGGGGGGGGGGCATGGAAGGGGAGGAATGGTTAGAGTTGTGGCACCATCCTCCCTGACTCGTCTGGCTACGTAGGATGAAGAGTGATAAATGATGATGCCATTCATCATCCCTCTTCCTAGGGAGACAAAGGCGGGTGGGGGCGCGTGGATGGGGAGACGCAAAGAGAAACAAAGTGAAGGAGACAAGGGGGGGGGGGGGGGGGGAGTCTAAGCGAGTGGTGGTGGGAGCGGTGGCGCAGTGGTTAGCGCACTGCGCTATGAACCCGATGACCCGAGTTCGATTCCCGGCCACAGCTAAGATCAGCGGCGAGCGCTCCGGAATTCCTCCCTTGCCCCGCCAACTCCCCTCGCTTCTCCCCCCCCCCCTGGCAATCGTGGTGAAGTATGGTCAAACAACCTCGACGACCTCCACGCCGTGGAAGAGACTTGCATCCAGCAGTGGATTGAGAAAGGTGCTGTAAATACATCACAAAATAATGCACGAGAGAGAGGGCGAGACAAAGCTGGTGGTCACGTGTAACAGCTGGGATTTGTCAGCTGTTCACAATGTCCACGTAGCATCGATAATAAATGGTTAATGTAATTAATGTTAAATCTGCAATTTTATTGAGAGACTTTGTATTGTCTTGGTGTGGTCTGGGACTGTTTTTGCTGTTTTACTGCCTGTCCAAGCTTGAGAATTGATGCACTTATGTAATTTAAACTTATTAACGTTTTAAAAAAAACATTTATTTTAGTGACTTGCATACTTTCCTATACATTGCTCTCCTATCGTTTTTTAAATATGTTGTTATTGTAACTTACTGTCCCGCCCCTACTGGACATCTGTAAAAAAAATATAAGAGTTTCATAGCTCATCGGATTTCTCCAGGGTAAATAGAGATTCTGATTCTGAGTTGTGCACAAAACAAACGTGTAATGCGCGAGTGTAGGTGCTCTATGTGTGTATGTTGAACTTCTTTCGCACCGCACGTAGCTAACCGCTTTAATCGGATGTGCGGGCGAAGGACATCAAAACAAACGCAACAAGCAGTTCTAAAGAAATGAGTTTGCAATCTAGATTTAAAAGTGCACATAATGTGCACGATCTCTATCCTCGTCTACAGGGCGGCCCAAGAGTCAGGACACTTATAGGCGTGTTTCATTAATGTTAACATTGGCTTTAAAAACATTTGAATTAGTTTTAATTTAAGTTAATAGTTTAGCCCCATGTGTTATCAGCACTCATATCTGTGTTTTCTTCCTTTTCAGATGGCGTTTAAAAGTGGAAAGAACACTGGCTGAAGACGACTGAGTTCGTTATGCCACATAGAGGCAGCTGTAATCTTACAAGAGAATTAATGCATCGTGCATGAACGCTATTGGTAGTCAGTTGCAAGTATGTCTTCATATAAAATAAAAAAAAAAGCCGATGTGATTTGTTAAAATAAATATCAGGATGAGAATATTTATTGACACCGCAGGAGGAATCCGATGAGCTATAAAGCTCTTTTCCACAGACGTCCAGCAGGGCCCGGTCAGCAAGTTACATCAACAAGCAGTACAAAGCAACGGTAGGTGTACAACGTAGACAAAATAGGTACGCAGTTCACTAAAATAAATGCACGTAAATAAACGAACATCTTTAATGCCAATGTCAAAATGAATGAAACAACACCACGTGTCCTGACTTTTGGGCCACCCTGTCGATAAGAGATCGCGCACGTTATTGAAAGTGCACACAGCGTATGGCATGAGTACATACGACTCTAACCCGATGTTGTCCTGACTTTTGGGCCACGCTGTGGAGCCGCGTCCAGTCCGGGGGCTCTCCACCACGCTCGTCGCTGGGACCGTCGTAGACCGGTCGGTACGTTCGAGCCTGACGGTCGGGCCGTCTGCGGTCGAGCAGGGGGGGGGGGGTGGGGGGTCCTTGTAGCCGGACGGGGACGTCTGCCCGCAGCTCGCGCGGCAAATAAAAGCGCGCATTTACAGCGCTGATCCGGGGGCTCGTAAATCGTGGAGGTGCCTCCAGTAAAACACAAACACCCACCTCTGGAGTCACCGAACGTCTGGCCTTGATTTCAAAAAGTGTGTTCCCCCCCCCCACCCCCTTTCTCCGACTGTTTAATTATTTTTAAATAACTTTAAACATTCTTGACGAGAAAGTTTAACGTTAAGGTGTGGTGCGTTGTGTGTGTGTGGTGCGTTGTGTGTGTTGTGTGTGTGGTGCGCTGTGTGTGTGTGTTGCGTTGTGTGTGTGTGGTGCGTTGTGTGTGTGTGTGGTGCGTTGTGTGTGTGTGTGTGTTGCGTTGTGTGTGTGCGGTGCGTTGTGTGTGTGTGGTGCGTTGTGTGTGTGTGGTGCGTTGTGTGTGTGTGGTGCGTTGTGTGTGTGGTGCGTTGTGTGTGTGTGGTGCGCTGTGTGTGTGCGTGCGCTGTGTGAGTGTTGTGCGCTGTGTGTGTGTGGTGCGTTGTGTGTGTGTGGTGCGCTGTGTGTGTGTGTTGTGCGCTGTGTGTTTGTGGTGCGTTGTGTGTGTGTGGTGCACTGTGTGTGTGTGGTGCGCTGTGTGTGTGTGGTGCGCTGTGTGTGTGGTGCGCTGTGCGTGTGTGGTGCGTTGTGTGTGTGTGGTGCGCTGTGTGTGTGTGGTGCGTTGTGTGTGTGTGGTGCGCTGTGTGTGTGTGGTGCGCTGTGTGTGTGTGGTGCGCTGTGTGTGTGGTGCGCTGTGCGTGTGTGGTGCGTTGTGTGTGTGTGGTGCGCTGTGTGTGTGTGGTGCGTTGTGTGTGTGTGGTGCGCTGTGTGTGTGTTGTGCGCTGTGTGTGTGGTCCGCTGTGTGTGTGTGTGGTGCGCTGTGTGTGTGTTGTGCGCTGTGTGTGAGTGTGTTGTGCGCTGTGTGTGTGAATGTGCGCGTGTTTGTGTGTAGTGGTGGTGTAGCGGTTAGCGCGCTGCGCTGCGCTGCGAACCCGGCGACCCGAGTTCGATTCCCGCTCACGAATAACACCAGTGGCGAATATTTGAATCGGTTTTGGGGCCTCCCTAGGTCGACTCAGCCCCAAATGAGAAGCTGGTGCGGTGGTGTATACATCGCCACTAGGGAGACAAAAGCGGTCGGGAGTTATGTTGACACCCCCCCCCCCCCCCCCACCGTGTGCCCGTGCCGACCTCCGTAGGTGCTCGCTAACAGCACTTGCCCCAACAGTCTGTTAAAGGCTATACGGGGGGGGGGGGGGGGGGGTCGTTGCCTTTGTGTATACAAAGTGTTTGTGGAACGCGCGGTTCAAGAGCGAGCGAGCACGTTCACCTTGGGAGACGGAGCAATGAAATCAGCTCGTGCACAGGGGCCGGGTGGGGATCAAAGGCGTGACCACCGCGTGGGACGTGTAGGTTGCTCCCTCAGCCTTGTCTAGACCACCAACAACTCCTCGACAGCTGCCGGGCATGGCCTTCCCCGGGTCGGATCGTCGCATCGCGGGATCGTGAGGGCTGAGGGGAGTGAGGGCCTTCGTCCAGCGGTGGATAGATCGTGGCTGCTGCTGCAGCTGCTGATGATGATGTTGTTGCCGGGAACGCAAGGTGCCATCTGTGACATCAATCGCTCGTGAATTCTATTCTAAAACCATACCCAGATTTTCACGATAGCTTCAGCTCCTGACATCCGCTCCGCCCGTTAACAATCGGCGTGCTAAGAATGGCACAAGATGAAAATCGCTCAATCATCATAATCAGCAACAGCGGCGATGGTCAATCCACTGCTAGATCAAGTCACAAAACGCGTGTTGAGGAAGAGAATAGTGAACACCACGAGACGCTGATGGGGGGGAGGGGGGGCGGGACGGAAATAATCGGCGCGGTCACGTGGTCGAGCGGGAGCCGCGTGTGCGAGGTTATAACCCGGCACGGCCGCCCTGGTAAATGCTGCGGGTGGTTGTATGAAACATTAAATTCAACCCGCCGTGACTTTGTTTGACAAGAGAGTGTAGTAGCAGCTAATTGTGTGGCCCGCGTCATGGGGCCCACCACGACCACCACAACGACCACCACAGCCACCACCACCACGACCAACACGACCACCACCACAACCACCAACACGACCACCACAACGACCACCACAGCCACCACCACCACCACGACCAACACGACCACCACCACAACGACCACCACAGCCACCACCACCACGACCACCACTACAACCACCATCACGACCACCACAGCCACCACGACCACCACCATCACGACCACCGCCGCTAAGAGCTGCAAGGGAATTGCAAATTGCGTTTGCGTGGCTATTTTAAGTCACAAACTGCTGCGAACGCTAAACTCAGTCTCTCTTAATAATGAAGCCTAATTGGAAAATTACCCACGGAATTACCCCCCCCCCCCCCCAACAGCTTCCCCGCCCCCCTCCTTTTCCCCCTCTAACCTCTACCCAGTCCATAATTGTACACGTGCACGCGCCGGCTCTTTGAGACAATCTACTGCTGGATGAAGACATCACCGTCCGCCCACAGTGGTTGCAGGGACAATCTGAACGGTTGCAGGGACAATCTAAGAGGTTGCAGGGACAATCATAAAGGTTGCAGGGACAATCTGAAAGGTTGCAGGGACAATCTGAAAGGTTGCAGGGACGATCTGAATGGTTGCACGGACAATCTGGAAGGTTCCAGAGACAATCTGGAAGGTTGCAGGGACAATCTGAGAGGTTGCAGGGACAATCTAAGAGGTTGCAGGGACAATCTGAGAGGTTGCAGGGACAATCTGAAAGGTTGCAGGGACAATCTGAGAGGTTGCAGGGACAATCTGAGAGGTTGCAGGGACAATCTGAAGGTTGCAGGGACAATCTGAGAGGTTGCAGGGACAATCTGGAAGGTTGCAGGGACAATCTGGAAGGTTGCAGGGACAATCTAAGAGGTTGCAGGGACAATCTGGAAGGTTCCAGAGGCAATCTGGAAGGTTGTAGGGACAATCTGAAAGGTTGCAAGGACAATCTGAAGGTTGCAGGGACAATCTGAAGGTTGCAGAGACAATCTGAAAGGTTGCAGGGACAATCTGAAGGTTGCAGGGACAATCTGGAAGGTTGCAGGGACAATCTGGAAGGTTGCAGGGGCAATCTGGAAGGTTGCAGGGACAATCTGAGAGGTTGCAGGGACAATCTGGAAGGTTCCAGAGACAATCTGGAAGGTTGCAGGGACAATCTGGAAGGTTGCAGGGACAATCTGAAGGTTGCAGGGACAATCTGAAGGTTGCAGGGACAATCTGGAAGGTTGCAGGGACAATCTGGAAGGTTGCAGGGACAATCTGAAGGTTGCAGGGACAATCTGAAGGTTGCAGAGACAATCTGAAAGGTTGCAGGGACAATCTGGAAGGTTGCAGGGACAATCTGAAAGGTTGCAAGGACAATCTGAAGGTTGCAGGGACAATCTGGAAGGTTGCAGGGACAATCTGGAAGGTTCCAGAGACAATCTGGAAGGTTGCAGGGACAATCTGGAAGGTTGCAGGGACAATCTGAAAGGTTGCAAGGACAATCTGAAGGTTGCAGGGACAATCTGAAGGTTGCAGGGACAATCTGAAGGTTGCAGGGACAATCTGGAAGGTTGCAGGGACAATCTGGAAGGTTGCAGGGACAATCTAAGAGGGTGCAGGGACAATCTGAAGGTTGCAGGGACAATCTGAGAGGTTGCAGGGACAATCTGAAGGTTGCAGGGACAATCTGAAGGTTGCAGGGACGATCTGAGAGGTTGCAGGGACAATCTGAAAGGTTGCAAGGACAATCTGAAGGTTGCAGGGACAATCTGGAAGGTTGCAGGGACAATCTGGAAGGTTCCAGAGACAATCTGGAAGGTTGCAGGGACAATCTGGAAGGTTGCAGGGACAATCTGAAAGGTTGCAAGGACAATCTGAAGGTTGCAGGGACAATCTGAAGGTTGCAGGGACAATCTGAAGGTTGCAGGGACAATCTGGAAGGTTGCAGGGACAATCTGGAAGGTTGCAGGGACAATCTAAGAGGGTGCAGGGACAATCTGAAGGTTGCAGGGACAATCTGAGAGGTTGCAGGGACAATCTGAAGGTTGCAGGGACAATCTGAAGGTTGCAGGGACGATCTGAGAGGTTGCAGGGACAATCTGAAAGGTTGCAGGGACAATCTAAGAGGTTGCAGGGACAATCTGAAGGTTGCAGGGACAATCTGAAAGGTTGCAAGGACAATCTGAAGGTTGCAGGGACAATCTGAAGGTTGCAGGGACAATCTGAAGGTTGCAGGGACAATCTGAGAGGGTGCAGGGACAATCTGAAAGGTTGCAGGGAGAATCTGAAGGTTGCAGGGACAATCATAAAGGTTGCAGGGACAATCTGGAAGGTTGCAGGGAGAATCTGAAGGTTGCAGGGACAATCTGAGAGGTTGCAGGGACAATCTGAGAGGTTGCAGGGACAATCTGAAGGTTGCAGGGACAATCTGAGAGGTTGCAGGGACAATCTGGAAGGTTGCAGGGAGAATCTGAGATGACGTTGGAGAGCTTCAGGGATCAACAACCAAAATAACAAGAGGAACCGTTTTTTTAATCGAATTCGGTCAAACAAAACCCAACAGTGAATATTTCAAGAGCAGCGATGCACTGTGGTCAACAGCTTACGAAGCAGTCCTTAAAAGAGCCGCACGAGACTTCTCAGTCGCAAGGTTTGCTGACCCCCCTGGCTTAGAAGTTGCGGTGCAGCAGGCGGCCGTCTGCTCCCCACAAAACGTAGCAACCGCAGCGGTTGCATTCAAGGCCGAGTGGATCTAAAGGAGGCGCGCGAACGCTGAAGAGTCCACGTGGCGCATAGCCACGTATCGCGCGCACGTGGAACCGTGAACAAAGACATTGATCCCCCCTGCGTAGCCTGCACGGACTGTTTGGGGCAAGTGCTGTTCGCGAGAACCTATGAATGCTGGCACGGTACACGAGGAGGTGGGTGTTTGGCACCACGCCCGGCCGCCTTTGTCTCGCCGAGGGCTGATGTTTACACATTGCACCAGGTACTAATTTTCAGGCTGAGTCGACACGCACAGACAGGCACGCACATACAACACTCCCTCCCCGACACACACGCAACACACACACACACCCCCATACCAGCACCGTCTCTACCACACAGGGGAAACCGTTTGGTAATCTTTGGCAATCTTCGGGCTTCAGAGGAATACACACACACACAGTCTCACTCACACACACACAGTCTTTTCTCATAAATACATACACACAGACCCGCACACAGTCTCATGTACGCACACGTTCACACACACACATATATACAAACAAAGACGAAGATCCCACGTATAGCCTTAACAGACTGTTGGGGCAAGTGCTGCTGGCGAGCACCAATGAAGGCCGGCATAGCACGGCACACGAGGGGGTAGGTGGCCACCACTACGCCCGGCTGCTTTTGCCTTCCCATCGCTGATATTTGCGCACCGTACCAGGTACTCATTTATGGCTGAGTCGATGTAGGGGAGGCCCAGGACTGGTTCAGATTTTCGTCACCGATGTTGTTTGTGCCATGAGCGGGAATTCTGGTCGCCGGGCTCGTATCGCAGCGTCCCTCACCACTACACGACCGCTTCCCACTGCGCTATCGCTCCTCAAAATTGCACACACAAAGACAAAGGTTCCCCGTATAGCCTTCACAAACTGTTGGGGAAAGTGCTATTCGCGAGCACCTATGTGGGCCGGCACGGCTCACGTGGGGGTGGGTGGCCAGCACCACGCCCGGCCGTCTTTGTGTGTCTGTATAGCACATACATACAGACACGCATACACACAACAACAACAACCGCCATTCGCCACTAAGTGGCGGTGACGTCACCACGGCTCTTGTGCCAGGCTGGGTGCACGTTGAGACCACGTGAAGTGTCGAACGCCCGCCGGCAGGAGCTCACGGGACACACAGATGCGCAGTCCAACACATACACCCAAGACAAAGATCTTCCGTATTGCCTTAACAAACTGTTGGGGCAAGTGCTGTAAGCGAGTAGCACCTATGAAAGCCGGCACGGCAGGCGAGGGGGTGTGTGGCCAACACCAGGCCCGGCCGCCTTTGTCTCCCCAGTTGGCGATATTTACACATCGCACCAGGTACTCATTTTGAGGCTGAGTCGACCTAGGGGAGGCCCAGGACCGGTTCAAATAATTGTCACTTGGTGTTGGCCGCGAGCGAGAATCGAACCCGGGTGGCCAGGTTTGTAGCGCAGCGTAGCGCTAACCGCTACCCCACCGCTAACCGCTACACTCCCGCTCCGCATAGGCAGAGAGAGAGAGAGACACACACACACAGAGACTAACAGACACCGACAGATACACGATCTCACTCAGAGGAAGTTGCCTACTTATCGGCCAACAATCTCAGTCCCAAGCCACTTCATGCACACACGGCAAACACAACACTACACACGCACAAAGATCACCCCGCGTAGACTTAGTAGACTGTTGGGAGGCAAGTGCTGTTAGCGAGGAGCCACCTATGAAGGCCGGCACGACGCACGGAGGTGGTGAGGTGGCCAACCAACACCACGGCCGTCCGGCCGCCTTTGTCTCCCCAGTCCTGATGTTTACACACCGCACCAGGAACTCGGTATTTGAGGCCGAGTCCACCTGTGGGCTTCACAGTGCTATGATCGAACGCGTTGAGTTATATTTGATCAAGGTCGGCGTGCCCATGCCTGGCCACCTTTATAACCCTTGTACTCATTTAAGGCTGAGTCGATCTAGAGAGGCGGGGGGGAATCTATAGGATCGACAACAGCTTGCGGAGGGAGTTTTTCATCCAGCAGTGGATTGACCATGGCTGCTGTTGATTAAGTTGGTGATTTATTATCGCACGTTTTCTCCCGCTGTCTCTTGACACGTCGTTTCGCACACACACACACATATATACGTCGTCACTTTATTATCAACACCGGCTACCCACCCGACTTGCGTCGCTTCAACCCCACACTTGCGTCGCTTCAACCCCACACTTGCGTCGCTTCAACCCCACACTTGGGTCGCTTCAACCCCACACTTGCGTCGCTTCAACCCCACACTTGCGTCGCTGATAGCATGGTCCGTCCCTTCTCGTTATCCGTAGCCTCTCAGCCTTCCGCCACCACCACCACCCACCAGCACCACCACCACCACCCACCACCACCACCCATCAGCACCACCACCACCCACCATCACCCACCCACCAGCACCACCACCCACCACCACCACCCACCACCCACCACCACCCATCAGCACCACCACCACCCACCAGCACCACCACCCACCAGCACCACCACCACCCACCACCACCCACCCACGACCACCACCATCCACCACCACCACCACCACCCATCAGCACCACCACCACCCACCGGCACCACCTCCCACCAGCACCACCACCCACCACCACCACCACCCACCAGCACCACCACCCACCAGCACCACCACCCACCAGCACCACCCACCCACCACCACCACCACCACCACCCACCACCACCACCCATCAGCACCACCACCACCACCACCCACCACCACCACCCACCACCACCCATCAGCACCACCACCCACCAGCACCACCACCCACCAGCACCACCACCCACCACCACCACCACCCACCAGCACCACCACCCACCAGCACCACCAACACCACCACCACCACCCATCAGCACCACCACCCACCAGCACCACCGAATCCTGTAGTGAACACATCGCATCGATTTAACGTCGTTTTCACATTAATCGTCGCATCTCTTTCAGGAACGCATCCCCACCGAAGTAAACCGGGGCACGCCCCTGTATTTTGTTGTTGTTGTTCTCTTTGCTGTTCTCGCTGCTGACAAACCACGAATCTCGGTGGGGGGGGGGGGGCAACGGGGAGAGAGACTGGGTGAGCCTTGCTGCACCGTGCCTCCAGTGAGGCTCGGCAGACATTCCTCGCATAATTAATGGAAAAATTGTATTACAACACAAGCACCCATGTTTGCACAGCTGGGCTCAGGATTTTTGTGTGTGGGGGGGGGGGTTGACTTTTTATTTTAAAATAAAATACTTTATTTTTTGGAAGGTGAGTAAAAAACATTTTTTTGTTGCAGTTCTCTCTATTTTTGTGTTGTCGTGCCGAATCCTAACAAAAAAAAACTAATTAAATATCGCCCCAGGTTAAAATTGAACGCAACAAAACAGAGCGTTCCCTCGTTATCCGCGATTTTGGCTATCCGCGAATCGCATCTGGAACTCGAGACGACTGACTGCATCGAGAGAGAATGTGATGAGATCATCGCCACTGCAAGCTTGTACTGCGCAGTATCATCATCATTTAAGGTAAGTTCAAATATAATCTATTATTTTATACTTTCATAGTTATTTTTTCGTCTGGGTCTGTCCCGTGACCTCTTGCACCTAGCAAAGCACAGCCGTCAACCCATAACACCTGGGACTCTCCCGTGACCTGCCAACAGGCGAGCCTATCCGACTTCACGTGACGGCCTCAAAGTGCACCTAGCCTGGCACAAGCGCTGTGGTAACGTCACCGCCACGAAGTCACGAACAGCGGCTGCTGTTGTTGTTGTTGTGCGTGTGCTGTGTATAGGGAGGTCGTGGTTAGCGCTCTAAGTTACGAACCGGGTGACCCGAGTTCGATTTCCGTTCACGGCTTTCAACACCGGTGATGAATATTTGAACCGGTCCTGCCCCCCACCCCCCATGTCAACTCAGCCTTAAATGAGTACCTGGTGCGATGCATAACAATCGGTAGTTGGGAAACAAAGGCGGCCGGGGGTGCCCATTGCCACCCACCCCCTGCTGTGCCGTGACGGTTGGTATTCATCGGTGCTCGCTGACAGCACTTGGCCCAACAGTCTGTTAGCGCTATACGGGGATCTTTTGTAGTTGTAGGCGTTCGTACATGCGCGCGTGCGCGCGTGCGTGCGTATGTATGTGTGTGAAGAGACTTTGAGATTGCCAAATCATTACCAAACGGTTTCCTCTGTGTGGTTGAGACGGCGGCGTGTGCTTGTGCGTTTGTCTTCATGTGTGTGTGTCTGCGAAAGTGCTCGCTGGCGAACAGCACTTGCTCCAAAAGCCTGGGTAGGATATAGGAGGGTTTTTGGCTTTGTCTTTGTGTGTGTCTGTGAATGTGTGGGGAGCGATTGTTCAGCGGTTAGCGCGCCGCGCTACGAACCCGGCGACCCCAGTTCGATCCCTCTCACACCAGTGACGATTATCTGAACCGGTTTAGGTCGACTCAGCCTCAAACGAGTACCCGGTGCGATGTGTAAACGTCGTCACTCGGGAGACAAAGGCGGCCGGGCGTGGTGCTCACCACCCACCTCCCCCCCCCTTCGTAGGTGCTCGCTAACAACAGTCTGTTAAGGCGACGCGGGAGATCGTCGTCCGTGTCTTTGCGTGAGTTAAATTCCCGGCCACGGCTCACATCGGTGATGTCCGAACCCGGTTTTTTGGCTGCCCCCGTCATTAATCCGCACTGGGCCATCGTGGTGAAGTATGTTCATGGGACACGGTTGGTAGCTTGCTTTGTCCCTGCTTTTATATTTGCTGCATTGCTGTACTTTACTTATATCGGGTTTTTATCGTCATTTTGGTGACCAAGGCCACCCTCATATCCTGCTCTCTTGGTGGCCAAATTGCTGTGAATTTATGTTGTTTAGCCAACTGCTCTGCATGGGGGTTTTTGTTGTTGTTGTTAGCTCGGACGGTTATTGAAGGCGGACTGGGATCAAAAGCAAGTGCTGTAGGTAGTAGTAGCAGCAGCAGTAATAATAATAGTGTCAACTTGTCTCGCAGGGTTATCTGCTCGCTGTCGTAGAGAGAGGCGCAAGGAGGAGGAACCCACAGACGAGGAGGGAGGGCAGTAAATAGCAGCAGGTAAACGAGGCCAGGGCCACCAACAATTGCCAAAGCTCTGCGGTCCTCTATATACGAAGAAGTCTTGGGATACATTAATAGATTGCCTATACGTGTGGGAGGAAACCAGAGCACCCGGAGAAAAACCCACAGACGGGACAGATGGGGATTAGTCCACATTTGCTGAAGCGCCGTCTCATGCCAGAGCCAGGGAATGGCATCTCATCGACGCGCACCCACGAATGGGAAGGGCATTTCACGAAATGCGGTCTGTGTGTGATCCACCAACGCGCGCTGCTGTCCTCCGCAGTGCTGGATCATAGCCCACGTGGGTAGCAGCCACTACCACCACCACCACCAGCCTGCCTGCTTGCCATTGCTATTACAAAGGTGGAGAGGGACACGCTGAAGCTACCGCATATGTGAG